ATCATGATTAGCATTATCACTGTAATTGTTATCATTATAATAATTGAAATTATTTATGTCAATAGTATTATTATTATTTCAACCATTATTATCAATATCATTAATTATCATCATCATTACTTTACTATATCTTTATCATTATTACTATACTTGCTATTATTATTACTATTATGTTCACTTTAATATTATTACTATCATCATTATCAGTAATATGATAAAAATGCTAAAAATGATAAGGATAATAAAATGATGATAAGTTTAATAAATGATAATAAAATAATAACAATAATGATAACATCATTTAATATCATTATCATTATTGCTATTGTTATTTTCATTAACATGATCATCATTATAATTATTGCCACTATTCTTACTGACATTATTATTATCATTATTATTATTATTACTACTGCTGCTACTACTACTATTATTATCATCATTTCTACCATTGCCATTATAATCATTACCATTATTATTATTATTATCATAGTTATTATTATCATTATTGTTGTTATTATTATTATTGTTATTATTATCATATCATTATCATTCATTATTATCATTATCATTTATTATATCAATTATCATAATCATTATTAATATCATTGTCATTATCATTATTGTTATTGTTACTGTCATTATTGATAATGTTAATGTTGTTGATCCTGTTGTATTAATACTTTTGTTGTTATGGTTGTTATTGTTATCACCATTGTTAAAGTTATTATGATGCTAATGTTGATAATGACAATATTAATGAAATAATGATAATGATAATGATTGTAATTGGAATAATGATCATTATTATTATCATCACAATGAATGTTTTTTCTTATCATTATTATTATCATTATCTTCATCACCATCATCATCATCATTATCATTATCATGAAAATAAATTTTTTCTTCTTATTGTTATCATCATTATTGTTGTTGTTGTTATTATTATTAACATTATTACTATCTTATCATATCATCATTATTTATTATTATTATTATCATTATCATTGCTTTTATTGTTTTTTGTTTATTATTATCATTATGATAATCGTTACCATTATCATCATTATTTTTCTACTATATTGTTTCATCCATCATCATCGTAGTTGTTGCTGTTATTGTTTTTATTTATATTATTATCATCATTGTTATTATTGCAATTATTGTTATTATTGTTCATATTATTATCATTATCATTATCATTATCACTGTTAGTAGTAGTAGTAACAGTAGTAGTATCAAATTATTATTATAATTCTATCATTGTTATTATCATTATTGATAATATTATTGTTATTGTAATTATCATTATTATAATCATTATTACCTTTTTTCTTTAGCTTATCATCATCATTTCAATTTTTGATATTGTTATTATTATTATTCATTATTATTTCATTTTCATTTCTATCATCATCATTGTTGTTGATGGTGGTTATCATCATTATCATTATTATTATAATCATTATCATTATTGATGTTATTATTATCACTAATTCTGACTGATTTCATTAATATTATCATTATCTTTTATATTGTTTTATTATTATCATTGTTATTACTTTTATTATTGTTATTATTATGATTGTCATTATTATCATCATTACTACAATTACTACTACTCCTACTACTGTCATTATTATCAATATCATATAATTGTTTTCATGATCATAGTTATCATTGTTAATATCATCATAATTCTTGTTATGTTCATTTTCATCATAATTAGAATTATCGATCTTGTATCAATATTTGATTTATTTATCCTTAATTCTTTCAGTTATCATTTGATTAACTTACTATTTGCTTATTCATGTATTTATCTACTTATCTATAGAGTAATAAGCAGACGATTATTCGCCCTCTTTATATCTAGTAATTATTTGATTAAGTTATTATCTACTTATCTATATATCGATCTTTTTATCTATCTATCTATTTATCTATTCGTCTGTACAGTAAGAAGCCAAAGATTATCAGCCCTCTTTATCTCTAATAACTCTTTGGTTGTTATTATCTATCTATGTATCTATCTGTTTATCTATTTATCTAATTCGTCTATAAAGTAACAAGCCGACGATGATTCGCTCTCTTTATCTCTATTAATTATTTGATTGTCATTATCTATTTATCTATTTATGATAAAAAACCACAATGCAAAAAATATTTTTTTTTGAAGTTGAGTTCTTTCCATCTATCTATTTATGTATGTATCTATTTATGTATCTATCTATTTATGTATCTATCTATGTATCTATCTATTTATGTATCTATCTATGTATCTATCTATTCATGTATCTATCTATTTATGTATCTATCTATTTGTATCTATCTATCTATTTTATCTATCTATTTATTTGTCTATTTATGTGTCTATCTATCTTTTATCTATATCTATCTATTCGTCTGCAGAGCAACAAGCCGCTGATGGAGAAGAAGCGACGCCAGAGAATCAACCGCTGCCTCAACGACCTCAAGACGCTGGTGTTGGAGGCCCTCAAGAAGGATGTGAGTAGGCGGGGCTTATGCGCTGCTGTTGGCGTCCGGCGTGGTTGGGCGTGTGAATGGGCGGGTTTGGGGGGGGGGGGGAGTTGTTGTTGTTGGTGGTGGTGGTGGGGTTGTGTGTGTGTGTGTTGTGTGTGTGTGTGTGTAGGGTGTTGTTTTTTTTTTGGTTTTGTTGTATGGTTGTGTGTGTGGTGTTTTTGGTTTTGTTTTGTGTGTGTTGTTTTTTGTTGTTGTTGGTGTTGTTTTTTTCGTTGTTGTTGTTTTGTATGTGTGTGTCTGCTTGTGTTTTGTTTTATGTGTGCTGTTTTTACTTATATTATTCTCTCTCTCTATCTATCTATCTCACTCACTTCCCTCCCTGCCTCTTTCTTGTTGATATTAACACGCTCTCTCTGCCTCTCCCTCAGCCCTCCCGCTACAGCAAGCTCGAGAAGGCGGACATCCTGGAGATGACGGTGCGCCACGTGCAGGCACTCCATCGGCACGACCTCGTGGGCGTGCGAGGCCGAGTGGCGGGCGGCGACGAGAAGGGCAAGTACCGGGCAGGATTCACTCAGTGCGCGGTGGAGGTGACACGCTACTTGGCCAACATGGGCGGCAGCGTCCCTCATGACCTCCAGGCCAAGGTCATCGCTCACCTGAACTCGGTCACCAAGAGCCTCATGGGTCAAGCCTCCGGAGTGCCTGCGGGGAGCGGGTTGGCCTCCGGCAGCTCTAGCGTCGTCGTGGGCGGGGGCGTTGTCACCCTCACGCCCTCTGCCCCTCCGCCTTCCACTGCCTCCTCCTCGGCCCCTCTGGCACCGCCTCTCGTCGTCACCACCGTCGCGGACTCAAGCACGACCTTGGCCGGCCTCTCGGAGCGGTGTCCAGCCTCGTCGGGTGAGATCCCCGCCCGGCGCCTGGGCGAGTCGACTGTCATGGATGCCACGCCCTCACAGGGCCCTGTCACGGTTGGCGCCGGTGTGACCCTCGTGCCCGCTCGGCTGGCGTCTGGTCAAGTGGCACTCGTTCTTCCCCCCGGGACGACGCTGCCCCCGTACGATGCCCCGCAGTCGGTAGCCCCCACGAGCAAGTCTTCGCTCGAGTCCGTTGCCTCTTCCTCCTCGAACTTTGGCGTGTCGAGGCTCGAGGACTCGTCGACAGACTACTCCAGCATGTCCCTCTCGACTCAGCTGTCGTCGACGCCCTCGTCCTTCGGGGGGCCTCGCATCGTGACCTTCACGAGCCGCCCTCACGAGGGGTTTCTATACAGCGTCTCTGAGGCGTCCTCCGCCCCCTACACGACGCCCTTCAAAGGCCCTTCGGGATTCGCGGACGTCCCTCCCTCTTTTCTTCCGCCTCCGCCTCCCCTCCTTCCGCTGCCTGAGGACGACGCCTCCTCCTCCGTGGACGCCCTTCAGGAGACACCTTTCCCTCCCGCTCCATCCGGCCGGGAACAAAGCTCCTCCTTCTCCTCCGCCGAAAAGGGAGGCCCGGCGCTCTCCACGGACGCGTCTCGGGGCGTCGGCGAACACACCGGCGAAGCGAGACTCGTCTCTTCTGAGGCTTCTGCGGAAACGTGTCCAAGACTCGTTCCTTTCCACCCGTCCCCCAGCCTGAAGCTTTCCGTCAGCTTCTCAGACTCGAGTAAAGCAGAGAGTCAGAGAGCGTCCTCATACCTGAGCCTGTACTCTGACCCAGCCTCAGCTGCCCCGGTTGTCCGCCCGACGCCCACGTTGCCAGAGGGCGTCGCCTTGCCGTCCTCTCGCCCGGAACACGCCCAGGGAACACCCTCGCTGTACCCCCTTCGTCCTGATAGCTCCTGCTCTGCCCAGCCTCCAGCAGCGACGTCCTACAGGTCGTCCTTCGTCACTGTTGTCTCGTCCTCCGTATCTTCCTCATCAACGAGCGTCTCGTCAGCCCCAAATGCTCCTTCGACGCCCATTGTTTCGTCGACTTCCGGTGCTCCGACGAGTCTCAGCGTCTCAACGGCTCCTAGCATCCCATCCATCCTTTACGTGTCGTCAACTCCCAGTGTCCTACCCGGTAAAGGCAACCCATCCAGTCCCAGTGTCCCCTTGAAACCCGGTGTCCCAGTAACTCCCAGTGCCCCGACAATGCCCTATCACCCTTCATCTCACAGCGCCCTGCCGACGTCCACAGTCCAGCCAACCTTCAGCCTTCCACCCGTGATCACGTTCCCCCTCGCCCCTCACCCCCTCTCCGTCAACCGCCCTTCCATCCACTTCAGACGCTCCCCCAACGCAAGTAACCTCCTCCTCCGTCGCGCCTCCTTCGTCCTCCATTCTGGCATCGCTCTCCGTCCCAGCAAGGAACCCCTGGTCGGAATCCAGTGCCCTTCGGACGCCAAGCTCTCCGCCGAAAGCTGCGCCTTCTTCGAGTGTCGCTGATCCGTCGCCTCCCGCCACAGGTCCTCCCGGCACCCATATTTCCGGCTCATTAACAACAATTAATAGTGCACCCATTACCTGCTCCTCATCATCTTCTGATACAAATTGTTGCCAGACTTCCTCCAGAACGCAAGAAGCTTCTGCCTGTACCTTCTCCTTGTACCTTGCCTGTACCCGGTAACCAATCCCCCGGTGCCTCTTCGTCTTCAGGTGCTTCGCTGAGCCTCGGTGCCCCATCTGTGCCAACCAGTGCCACGTCAGATATTGCCACGCCCTCTGCCGAGCCCCTCAATCTCGTGACCAACAACCAGTCACTAGATTTGTCGTGTGGAAAACGCCCACCATCTCTGAAGATCGCGCCCACGCCCACCTGGAGGAGAAGCAGCGCGCCCTACCGCCCGCCCCTCGTGGGTCGTCGCTCGCAGCCTTGGCGTCCGTGGTGACCTCTGACCTCTCTTGAAAAAAACTAAATGACCCGTGATATCCCACAAAAGACACCAAAACAACAACATTAAATATTCATTCAAAACTTAGTTCATGTACGGTTTCTCACATTCATTCATCATTTAATCAACAATTACGATAAATGATTCCTAGAAAACACATTTCCTGTGACGATCGTCCTCAACTGAAGCGAATTATCGAGAAAAAAAACTTTGTAACTTTCTTACAAGATTTATGAACCCGCCTTTAAGTTGTTGTCTGCATTGTCATCGAATTTAATTACATCTTCATTACGACGATCATTATTATTACGATCATGATAGGCATTGTAGTTATTACTTTTATCATTACTCTTATCATCATCATGCATTCACAATCATTTTCACTGCTATTTTTTAATTGTAATTACTCTTATGAAGATTTATATCATTACTCTTATCATCATCATGCATTCACAATCATTTTCACTGCTATTTTTTAATCGTAATTACTTTTATGAAGATTCTTATCATCACCATACATTCACAATCATTTTCACTGTATTATATGAAGCTTTAAATATCATGCATGAGATCTGTATGTATTACGTCTAAGTTCATTGCTTGGTAATCTGCATATTGTTTTGTTGACTTTTTGTTGTTTTTGTCTTTTGTTTTGTTGTGATAATGTTTTTGTTATGGGACAAAGTCCGCGTTGTTCGTACATTAAGGAATTCTTTGTGATAATTAACGTGATTTTTGTTGTTGTTGTACATTTGTTTACTAAAATGCATTGATTATTTGCGAATAAAGTGATACCTTGTTTTCATTCTTTGTATTTTCTTTGTTTCCCGCCAACGAATAAAGTGAGAAGTAGGAGGAAGGAGAGAGAGAAAATGGCAAGAGAGGGGGATAAACAGAGAGACAGATTTAGAGAGAGTTAGAGAAAGAGAAAGATAGATAGAGGGGGTAATAGAAAGAGAAAGAAAGAGAGGGGATAAGAGAAAGAAATAGAGAAGAGAGAGAGATTGGGATAAGATACAAAATGGCAAGTGCGTAAAAGAAAAAGTAAAATTTATGTATGATTTGTATGATATATATGTATATATATATATATATATATATATATATATATATATATATATATATATATATATATATATATATATATACATATATACATGTATTATACACACACACACACATATGATACACATGTATTCACACACACATACATATGTGTATACACACACACACACACACACACACACACACACACACACACACACACACACACACACACATATATACACACACATATGTATACACACACACACATATATATATATATATATATATATATATATATATATATATATATATATATATATATATATATATATATATATATATATATATATATATAAAAGAGAAGGCTTCCTTGTGGCGACAGCCGCCGCCGCCACAGATATGCGTCAGATGGTCCATCGACGGCAAGGAGTAGGGGGGGTAGGGAGTAGGGAGGGAGGGAAGGGGGAGGAGGGGAGGGAGAGGAGGGAGGGGAGAGGGAGAGGAGGGGGGAAGGGAAGAGGGGAGGGAGGAGGGAGGAAGGGAAGGGGGGGGGAAGGGGGAGAGGAAGGGAAGGGGGGGGGACAAATAGCCCCGCGGGAACCAGCGAATTGAACGCCCATTCGATTGTGTGCGAATGTGGAAGCGGATGCGCGTGTGTGAACGGGCCGGCCGCGAGTGTATGTGGACGAACAGACGGACAAGAGTTAACAGATGATGTTGTCCCTGGTCGTCCGTTCTGCGTGCAAGTGCGTGCAAATGCGTGCGTGCGCGTCTCCTTCTCTGGCGTGGCTGTCTAGGTTCAGTGCAGCGTGATTCGTATCTTTATCTCAGTGGGAATGATGTCTATATCTCTCTCCTTATATTTATCTATTTTTCTTCACCTTCTTTCTCTCTCGGAGAGAGAGCAAAACACACATATATATATATATATATATATATATATATATATATATATATATATATATTATATATATATATATATATAAATATCATCTATTCTCATCTCTCTCTCTATTTCTTCATCTCTTCTCTCTCTCTCTCTCTTCAATCTATCTTTTTAAACTCCCAGCCTATATATCTATTTCCCCCTCTCCCATGCACACACATGCATATATGCGTGTTTGTGTCTGCATCTGTATGGAGATGTATACGACAATAGAGATACAGATATAGATACATATAAAGATACAGATAAAGAGTCTTGTTCATCAGTTTTCATCCATTTCTGTATTTCCGTTCACCCCGTCCCCATCTCTCCTTCCCCCACCCCCTCTCCTTTCCCCAGATATAGATACAAATAAAGATACAGATAAAGAGTCTTATCCATCATTTCATCCATTTCTGTATTTCCATTCTCACCCCGTCCCCTTCCCCACCCCCCACCCCTCTCCTTTCCCCAGATATAGATACAAATAAATACAGATAAAGAGTCTTATCCATCTTTTCATCCATTTCTGTATTTCCTTGCGGCCCATCTCCCCCATCCCTCCCCCCACTCCCCTCTCCCCCCCCCCCCCCCCAAGCCAAAGAGCTGTTCATATCCTCACAGCAATTATCACGACCTCCTGAGTTCCAGCGTGGGACAGCGATGAACAATTCAGAGGTGAGGCGGACAGCAATTTAATGAAGGTTTGAATTTATATTTGTGTGATGATGATGTTTCGCGAGTGCTTATATATTATTGGGGTGAATTTATTTTGGTTGCTTTTATACACACACACACACACACACACACACACACACACACACACACACACACACACACACACACACACACATATATATATATATATATATATATATATATATATATATATATATATATATATATATATATATATAATTGGATCTTACTACTGCTCTCAATTTCTTTTTCTCCAACTCCTTCTTCGATTTCTTTATCCTCCCTCTTCCTCCTCCTCCTATTGTCCCTGCTGCTCCTACCTTCTCTTATACCTATCCTTCCTCTCCGTATCCTCCTCCTCCCCTTCCTCTTATTCCTCTCCCTCCTTCTGATCTTCCTCCACCCCCATCCGCCTCCTCTTTTCCCTATTCCCATCCTCTACCCCCCATCCTCCTCCTCTCCCTTCCTCCCATCCTCCTATCCTACTATCCTCCTCCTCCTCTCCTCTTCCCTCCCCCTTCCTCCTCCTCCTCCCTCTCCTCTCCCCCCCATCCACCTCCTCTCCCTTCCTCCCATCCCCCTCCTCCATCCTCCTCCTCCTCCTCTTCCCCCCACCTCTCTTCCTCCTCCTCCTCCCCCCCTCTTCCTCTTTGCAACAAGTACTAACGAAGCCCAGGCGACGAGAACACTTCAGAGAGAAAGGTCACAGCATTGCAAGGTCGCGGGGTCAGGGGTCACGAGGTCAAGGAAGGAAACAAATGCCAGATGAAGGTGAGACGCTGTCCCTTAATGACACGACGAGTCTGAAATCATAGTCTTTGAAGACGGTTGAAATGCCACCATGAGGCTCGTAATTAAATGGGAAAATGTTGGGAATATCAGACATGTCGGAGGGTCGTAAATAATGAAATAAATTGTATGCTTGTTTGCAGGTTCGAAGGCATGCAGATAGGAAAATTTATGAAGTACAGATATATACACACTTTAACACATATACTTTCACAAACGTATAGATACAGACGCAAACAAGTACACAGACACAGACACACACACACACACACACACACACACACACACACGCACATCGACATACACACATACACACTAACGAGCACACACACACACACGCACATCGACACACACATACACACAAATGAGCACGCAGACACACACACACACACACACACACCACACACACACACACACAAGCACAGACACACACACACCGCACATCGACACACACACACATACACACAAATGAGCACGCAGACACACACACATGCACGCACAAACACACAAGCACAGACACAAACGCACAATGTAACAATATGTATGTGTTTTCTAATATGATATTAGACCAAAGGATAATACAATTAACAACGATGATAAGAGTGATAATGATAATGATATTAATAATAATCCTAATTATAGTAACAATGATTATCATAGTAATAGGAAATCGTGATAGGATGACGGTAATAAACATAGCAATAACAATACGAAATAAACTGGGAAGGAAAACAATAAAAAAAATCTTTAGATTATAGTTCTCATGCCCCCCCCCTCTTCCTTCTCCCTCCCCCTCCCTCCCTTCCCCCTCTCCCCCCTCCCAACCAGATGTCTTCTGTCATAGCAAAAGAAGGAAGGAAGGTGCGAGAAGGAGAAGAGAGGTGGGTGAGAGGGAGAGGATGGAGGAGAGAGAGAGAAGAAGGAAGGAACAGGAGAGGAGAGAAGAGGTGAAGGAGGAGGGAAGGTGGAAGAGGAGAGATGACGAGAAAGAGGTGAAAGAGGAGAAGAGAGGAAAGAAAGGAATAATATTGGAATGGAAGAGGTGGAGAGGGAGAAAAGGAAGTGGGGTGAGAGGTGAAGGAGGGAGGGAGATGGGAAAGGAAGGGAGAAGAGAAAGAGAAAGAAAATGAGATAAGAGAGAGAGAAAACCAAGCCCAACATTGCTTATTTCAACATTACAAGAATGCAAGACTACA